TATCCCTTCGATCCAGATGGCATGACACACGTCATGAAAAAATATAGCTTGCGGGGCAGGTGACATGAACATGCCATCATGGGAATATGTAGATGTGGGGACGACACAACTTGCTGTTGTGAGCATTTTCACTGTGGGCCAGGATAAAAGCCTCGCCAAGCCTGCACAAACCTCTTGGAAGGTGATTAGACTCATTTGGCATTTAGAAAGAGGCTTGTACATTATTTCCCTTGATAAACAAGTGTGGAATGTGGTGTCTGTCAGCCATGACTGGAAGAATGCCAGCTCCAGGGAGGATGCCATTTCCATACTCAGCATCCTATTACTAGCTGCCATGACAGGTTGTACAACAGAAAATTGAAAACTCCAAAATAAATAAATAAATAAATAAAGAACACAAATTACAAAATGTTTTTTTTTTTTTCACTGTGTCATGGACTATTTAGAGGAATGATATGAAGTCCGTGGAATGAGAAAAGTCTATCACCATCTGGATAAAGTAAATGAAATGATAAATATGGACATTAGAAAATGGCAGAAAAATAAAACCCCTTATACACAAAAAGAGAAAATAACATTACAAAGGAGAGGCAAAGAGTATTGTCACCAAACACAAGTGTTTGCATGCGCCTGACCTACAGGCCATACACCCGTTCGAGCAGCCATACATGTGAGCCTAATACTCGTATTTTGAGCAATGTGATTGCTGTGAAGCAACTAGATACAAGGGGTTAATAGTTTAGAACAGTGGTTCCAACCCCATGGTTGCGCCTAAAATGAGGGTCACTAGGGTTTTTCTGAGGGTTGCCAGAGGGTCTTAAAAGAAGAATAAAGGAATCCATAGCTGGGTATGTCAGTAAAAGTTAATGTTTTTATTACCACCAGTTTATTGAAACTCAATATGTTGGTAATATAAACCTTTAAAAGTATAGGATAATGTAAACTAATAAAAATCTGTAAGTATAACTACCATGAAAATGGTTGGATATCTTACTACATGTTCACACATTTTGGATTGTTAGCCCAGGCTTAGACTGTCTATATCTGTCCTTTGATGAGCAGTAATAAGATGGTAATACATTGCTTTTCTTGCACAGACTCCATATCATTTCTGGAGGTAGTCTACAACTCTGTGCAATAGCAATAAGAACTGGTAATATTGTATTATGTGTAATTTTCTACATTTTCTTATTATTCAATTTTCCGTAATACACCCTGCACCGCCTGTTATGGCTGGCAGAAATAGGATGCTGACCCTACAGCCAGCCGTCTTCCAGCCATGGCTCAAGGATGGTACATTCCACCCTCATTTACCTGTGGAAATAATGCAAGAGTCCCTTCCTTAATGGCCACAGAGACTTATCTTCATCCAAAAGCTTTGAGTACTCATGACGAGTCATTCCCGTCACCTGAGATCTCAGCCAATTTTTTTTTAATGATTTTTTCAAAGCATGACTGTCACTTCACCCAGATTCAAAGGGTTTAATATCTCATCAATTTCATATAATATATATCTGATCATCACATTATTTCAGTCATTCCCGCATGGTGACATGTGGAGTATTAGAAAGAGGTTACAGAGCTTTTGGAAAAAATACTATAGGCCAATATGTAAGGCATTCATCATAACAAGGAAATACATTACCTTTAATTAGTTGAATTTATGTGCTTGGTAGTCTGCATATGGATCAAATTCTGAGCATTAGGCTTACTTGAGTAGTGACTCTCCCAGGTAAATGGTTTGTTGGCATTGCTCAAAGGAACACTCATGTGCATCACCTAGATTCCTTGCCTCCTCTTTGCAATGTCATTATATCCTTTTGAGCAAAAGCAATTTCTTTTCCATTTTGTTATTTTCCAAGGTATATATTTGCCACTTGTTATGCTGTATCAAGTTGGATATAAACTGTTTTCAATGAACAGACTTCCTTTTATCTCTGCTGGTCGGCTACAATACAACTATGTACAGTAACAATATATATAAGTAAAATAGAGCTATTTAAGTAATCTTTAATATTTTTGTATAATTCAGTTGTCTGTGACATCTTGCACCACTGGTCACAGTATGCAGGAATAGGATCCTGAGCATGCAAATAGCGTCCTCCCTGGAGCCGGCACTTTCCCGGCCATGACTCATTGTTTACTGATGGACATAATGCAAGTCTAATCATCCTCCAAGATCTTTGTGCAATCACGAAAACACGTCATTTACATCTCCCTGGCCCTCAGCCAAAGGTTTCAGTGATAGTACATTCCTGTAACAGCCCCCTCTGCCAATTTTCTTTTTTTTATGACTGCACATTCCTGTTGTCCAGCCCTTAGCCAATTTCTTTTCATGACTTAACTGTCATGTCACCCAGATCCAGACAAAATGTAATTAAACGGATTGTATTTAAAACACATTCCAAAGAAGCTTAAATACTCTTTAAACCAAAATTTCCATATAAAGTCAAAGAGGCAGAAAAGAAGAAAGAAAGAAAGAAAGAAAGAAAAAAAAAGAAGAAGAAGAAATAATGAAGTAAAGAGAAGACAGAAAAGATAAATCACTTACCCAATGTTTTTTATCCACCTCTTCATCAGCGTCCCATTTTCGCGTTAGGAAAGGAAATTTTGCACTTATTATTTCACCGTCAAAGAACGTAGTTAAAGTGGGATACTCTTCCGTTAAGCCCTTGATCTTAAGGTATCCGCAGAGGTAGGAGTTTGCTTCATCCACGTGCTGCAAATAGAAGAAATTATTATTCATTCAAAAGTCAGTTCAAGTTGTCCGTGGCAGGAAGAATATTTAAATGTATATCATAAAATGTATATTGCAAAATAATAGCATGAATCACACTTATCACTTTATCAAAACACAAAAGTTAATATGAAAAAAAAAAAAAAAAAAAAGATACGTCAAAAGTGAAAACAAAACAAAACAATATAATGATATTTGATATTTGTAATCAGTATGATAAAAGTTGGGCACCATTTTTCACACGTGCCGAGACTTCTTTCCGTTTCTCACTTCTTGAACAATCTGCTTTATTTTGTGCTATGATTGCCCATACTAGACCCTTCCAAAAAAGGAGGTACGGATTTGCAGCGTATCCTATAGGTGTCAAGATCCAATACCAAAAGAGAGGTCAAAAGTTTACCAAGTTTCATTCCAAATTTTCCCAAACCAACAACCCTTTCAAGACATAGTCTGGCTAGAGATGGGAAGTCACCCTCGGCCATGTGACAGGATCAGTCACCAAGAACCACTAGCTGATGGCCATGATATCAATAATTTAGTGTTTGTTATATATTAACCCATTACCGCCGGTATATTTTTAAGCCGAAAATAAAAGTTTCCGGGAGGCTATAAAATCGACGTGCGGGGCTGGCCCAGCCTCTGCCCACGCGCCGGCTGCAGCCCACTGCTGCGTTGGAGCCCTGATACATATGTGGGATACCTATTGTAAGTGGCTTAAATGTTTTTATTGCAATACCTAGTAAGCAAAAAAAATAAAAATACAAATAAAAATAAATATATAAAAAGAAAAATAAATATATAAAAAAAAATAATATAAAAAAAAAATAAATAAGCAAAAAAAAATAAATAAATTAATAAATAAAATAAATAAAATAAATAAAGATATAAGACTAACTGGTCAATATACTATTATATGACACATTCAAGTCAAAATTTGTAAAAGTTTTTAGTCATCATCAAAAGATTCCCTCCATGAGTGCTCAAATCTCTTCTCATTGAATTTCCCTTATTATAACAATAATATATGATATGAAATATGTGAAATAATGTTGACAATGATAGTGATAGTATTGATAATAGTAATAAAGAATATTAGCTTATGTTTCTAATACTCAAAAACAATCTTTCCCATTTCACTCATTTTTATCAACCCTTTGGCATTGCATATGTACACTATATAACGCAGTTTTATACTATTAATTCTTTTCTGGCATAGGTGGCTTCAGGTCTAGTCATCATAAATATGCCAATTACCATGCAGTTCTTGAATTTTTATAGAGACGAAAAATTTCTAATGCTAGTCTTGTTAACTTATTGGATCCGTTTGACGAGACAATCACCTCATTAAAATAGTTTGGCTGAGGGCCGGTTAACAAGACCATCACCTCATGAAAAGAGTTTGGCTGAGGGCCGGTTGACGAGCATATGCTGTTATCAAAATATTTGGATGGGGGTTGGGGTGATGGGATCATGCAGTCAAGAAAAATTTGCCTGAAAGCTGAAGTGACGAGAATGACTCGCCATGAGTGCACAAAGCCCTTAAGGATTAGATCCAGTGGGCCGTTAAGGAAGGGGCTCTTGCATTATTTCCACCACTCAATGAGAATGGAATATACTATCTGTGACCCATGACTGGAAGAGCACTGATTCCTATCTCCATGCTCATGATCCTATTCACAAAAAATAACAATATGAAAATATTTAAAAAATGACAAATAACAAAATATTACAGACTCTTATTGTTACTGCACAAAGCTATAGAGTAACTAGAGAGATAATATGAAGTCTGTGCAAGGAAAACCACTTACTTCTATATTCATACACCATATTGTTAATACCATTACTTTATCTATTCAATGTTACTATTATCATTATCTTCATTACTATTATCATCATTATCATTACCATTACTATTACGATTGTAATTACCATCATCATCAACATTGTCATTATTAGCATCAAAATTATCATTAGACTACTATCATGATTATTGCATCAAAATGATCATTAAACTACTATCATTATTATTGTATGAAAATTTTTGTTAGACTACTTCATCATTATCATCATCATTATTATCATCATCACATCATTCGGAATACTTATGATAATAATAATTGGTACTTGTCTTTCCTGAAAATTCAATGAGTGAGGCCTTGTTGTTCTAACGAAAGACTCATAAGAGACAAAGAGCTTTTGCAGCCATCTACTTGTAAACAAAATTGGGAAAACAAAACCACTGTGGATAGCGTATGTGTACATGGACTCCTAGTGTCAACAAGTTAAGCTTGGCTGTCAAATATGACTTTCCACATTTCCTCTCAAAATGGACAAGACATCGAGTCCTCAAGTAAAGAGGTATATAAAATGCCTTGAAAATATAATAACTATTCTACCATAAATGAACACCCAGTAGTTATCTCTTTCTACAACCTAAAGTCAAGATATAAGATGCCCTACACAGTTTTGACTTTCCACTGATAGATAGTTTTTAAACTCATACAAATACAAACTACAAGGCTTAACACATCATATCTATGGCTTTTATCATACTAACTGCTCTACAGAAGGATTAAAGATATAAATGAATGATATCAACGCAGACTACATCTACCAATAAACTGATTGGTAATGGACAGCGCTGTCAAAATTAGCTTTTTGATATATGATAAACTTAATCTCACTCTTAGTGCTTTGTGACATGACATCCTAACCACCTGTCACTTGGCAACAATTTCCAACAACCAGATGTTCACAATGCAAACCTCCAGCCAAATTTTATTTCCCCATAATATGCTCCTGACAGCCACCCCACAGCAGATTTTTTTCTGATAAGACGTTCACATCTTCCAGATCCAAAGGATTAATTTATCATCTGATAAGTAGATAATTTTGATGTCATCTGCCAATTGTGAAAAATATGGAAATGCTTGACAAAGTCGCATATGGTCCTCCAGCGACTAGGTTCATTCTAACTTTCAGCATTAATGGCCACTAGCTAAATTTTTAAACCGGTGTTAACCCTTTAGATCCAGTTGCATCATAGAAATCACGGAGCTGAACACCCGGCAATGGGTTATGCAAGTGGCCAATATTCCGGGAAGCGGCACATACACTGGGCGTGCACAAACACCCATCAGCAGTGACGAGACTCTGTGCCTCCCCTTTGTAAAGTAATTTTTTTCAAACTTTTTTAGCTTTATTGCCATTTTCCAATGTCCATATTTGTCTTTTGATTTGCTTTATCCAGATAGTAATTACTTATTTTCCTCACTGTACTCCATATCCTCCATTTGTCGTATTTGTTCATGGCCACAGCACACAATCACCCGCCCCACGGCTCAATTTTTTTCTGTGACATGACCGCAACATCATCTAGGTCCAATGGCTTAATACTTAACCCTATGATCCATATTTTTGGCCAAATGATTTCAGTGACCAATGGGTTAATTCATACTTGTGCTGTCTATCTTTCTTCTCTCATTCATATACACTGTACATTCATTACTTATACATATTCTCTCTATCCGTCACTCAATAATTCATTCATCCTCTTTTTCTTTCTCACTCCATCTCTCTTTCTCCTCTCTCTTTATCTAATAGATATTGAATTCCATGTTAATTACTTGATTAACTGAATTTTCCGGGCCCTCCACTATATTTTTTTTTTGTTATACTCTAGCCTTTTTCACCATGTCTAAGTTTTTGTCCATAAAACAAATTTGGTAAGAAAATGCAAACATATCTGATGAAATATCAGCCAATTCCATGTCAAACATAATAAAAGCATCTTCCAAAAGAGTGGAGTATCATCAAAGCTTTTCGTGTTTTTCCGAAATTTGAACTTTCTTATGTGGACACATGCAATTTATGGCTAATTTCTGTAAAAGCTATCAGTTTAACTATCTATCAGTTTAACTTTGTATGTTGATGAGAATAATCAAAAAACATTAATAAATGTGTCTGAGAAAGAGAGAAAGAAAGAAAGAAAGAAAGAAAGAAAGAAAGAAAGAAAGAAAGAAAGAAAGAAAGAAAGAAAGAAAGAAATATATATATGTATATATATATGTATATGTGTATATATATTATATATAATTATATATATATATATATATATATATATATATATATAGCTACGCTCCAATCTTTTTTTCTTTTTAAATCTAAAAATATCTTTAACTGAACCTTAATAGTTCAGCTCAGCCCTTTTATCATAAAGCATATGACAATCAAGCAAAACACCCAAATATCAAAGAAAATCTATTGTGGAACTATGGTTATATTAAAAAAAGAAAAAAGAAAAACGGGGGAAAAAAAAAAATCAAAATTTCAAAATGTTTCAGAGATACAGGAAAAAAAATAAAAGCACATATATAAAATAATATGAATAAAAAATGAAATAAGTAGATGGAATAAATAATGTGACAAATAGATAAAAAATTACATCTGTCATTTACTACAATAAAAAGTTTAACAAAATTTAAAAAAATTTCTCTACCTTTAAATGGTTTTGTTCAATAATGAAGGAAACCTATGTAGGTATTTCCAGGTCAGACCCACCCACCACAACAGACACTCTAATGACAAGACTCGTCTACCTCCAACTCATCGTCAAGTTCCATATACTAACCACTGCAATGCCCGAAGCGCACCCTCCCCTCATACGTGCCTGAACAGAAACATTATCTTCACCTTGGTATGCACAGCAAGATAGAGCTGAAACTCGGGAGCACCAAGTGGATTTAGGCTAAGAGCAGCGCTTT